TAGTTCCCTTTGTCCCCTCCCTTATGGTAGTGTGAAAGATGTTATGGTCAGATGTGCCCTGAGGTTAGTGTTTCTGGCTCAACTTATTCCATTGCCCTATATCCTGACAGGACTCTCGTGCCTGGTAGAAGTTGAGATCAGGAGGATAGGACATGGGAAAGGAGAAGACACTTGGTGTGCCTCGGCTCTCTTGCCCACATTCAAGCTTGAAGACCATGTACATGCACACTCATAGCAGCTCTCAGGCCTTGCTGCGTCCTCATGAGATCATAAGCTCCAGGAGGACAGGGACCCAATCTCCCTTTTGACTATGTCTCTCTGCAGTCATCCTGGGCCACCCTCTGAAAGCATACATAGCTGAGGGCGTGAATGCCATCACTTCTCTGTGGTGCCACAAGGAGCAGAGCCCTGGCAAAGCTAGTCCCTGTGTCAGGTTGCCCCTTTGCGTTTTCATGAAGTGGCACCTTTCCTAGCTGCTCCCTGCACTCTGCCGGGGTCTCCTGCCCCTCCCCAGACCAGGTAGTCATGTTCGTTCATAGTCTACCAGAGTTTGCCGCTCGCAGTTTGCCCCTGCCTGCTTCCAGGTTCAGGCATATGTAGGGGAACGCGCAGCCAGCCTGTCCATGAGCTCTGCTGCCTCGCGATTCTTTCTGGTTGCGCCAAGCTCTAGGTTGCTGGTTGCTCTCTCCAGGTCTCAGAGACAGGTCACTCTGATAATCCCTGGAGTCCTCAGGGTTGGGGGACCCCTCCATTAGTCTCACCGAAGGGGGAGTCAAGCCCCTGCTCATTTCCGCCTGCTCATTGAGGCCTCCGTCTTTGGATGTGAACACCCAGAAACCAGTGTTGTGGTGGAGGCTCACCATGCTTTGCTGTCTGCAGTGGCCTGTCTCCCCTCCTAACAGAGCCCTGCCTGGAAGCCAGAGCAGCTAACATGTGCCCGGAGCACTGCAGTCTGACTGAGACTTCCAGCACGCGTTCCGCAGGTGACCCACAGCATCCCCTCATGGGGCTTGTTCACACCTGGCAGGAACACCATTCCCCATCATTGCCGCATGCGGGGCTGCATCAGTGTGTGTGAGTGTGAGTGTGAGGCCAGCACACAGGGTCTTCTGTGGGCCCAGCCCAGTTATAAATCTTCCTGCCTGGGAAATAGATCTCTTCATCCCTGAAAGGAGATTCATGAGCAGTGAGTGCTGCCAGGCCGCCTGGTGTTTGTCATCATTCCAGAGACATCAACTACACCCTGATGCTCTGCCCTCCTCGGTAGCGCTTCACATATCATCTCTGAGCTTTGCATTTTGTACGTGCAGGGACCAGGCCCCTTCCCCCTTGCCTGCCAGCCTGGACATGTGCTTGCTCCCTCTCCTTTTCCCATCATCACACAGATGGCTATGCAGTGGAGAAAATGAATATTTCTCCAGAAGTAGATTAATAAACATCATCTGAGGAATGAGTTAATAAAGACAACGTGGTGTGAGAAAATGCCGAGAGCTAGGCTATCCATTAGTCCGACAGGGTCCCTGGCAGTAAATGGACAGGCCTGGAGGAAAGTAAGCCAGTGCCACCTGCTGGAGCTATGTGGTGGTGCAGCTGTGAATCGAGCCTGGCCCTCCTTCAGAAAGCTGCACAGGGCAGATGTACCTGCTGTCAGCTTCACCCTTACAGACCCAGCAGCCAGGAGGGCAGGGGTAGAGGCTAGTGTAGGCCTACAGGTTTCTCAGTGTGTCCTGAAGGTTGGGAAAGCAGAAAAGGTGAGGAGCAGCAGCAGGGAGTGCTGCTGCCTGAGGCTGGGAGCTGCTCGAAATAGATGCCCCCAGCTCAGGGAAAAAAGAGTCTTGATGAAAAAGTCTTTGACCTAAAATTATTGTTTCAGGTTGGTTGGTTATTTTTGTTTGTTTGTTGTTTTATTAACCACAAGCTGAGCATTTTCTGGCTTTGTTTACATTGAAAAGGACATCTTTAGGGCTAGATGCCTGCCACTGAAGAAGAGCACAGAGCAGAGGGGCAAACTCAGGACTCCCGCCTGACCAGTGCAAGAAGCCTTGTGACCAGGTCCAGGTGTGCCACCCAGCCTGGGCTAGCCAGGCTCAGTGCCCAGAATCTACTTCTTTAGAGACAGTTCATCTCTGACCTGCAAGGCCTCAAGAGGGCCCAGGGTAGTAGGCTGAGAGCCAGAGTTCATGCATCATCTGGAAGCAGAAGTCAGCAAATGTAGGTGGGGCACCAGGGGCTTGACAGCCTGGGAGAGAACAGGACAAAGTCAGGTGCCACAGGCAGGGTGGCTCTGCTGAGGCTTGAACATGACCACTTGGCCTCCATGAGCAGGTTTACATGCCCTGGGGTACCCTGCCCACCCCCAGAGGAGAGCTCTTGACGAATCTACACTGGCTAGAAATATACAGATACCCAGAAGGGTTGTCCTAGGAAACCTCTGCAGGGTAAGCAAATGCTTTGATCTACCTCATGTTCACCAGCTCTGGTCAAAGACATCTGGCTTCTTAACAGAAACTGGCCAGGAGTGAGGTTGGGTGTCACATGGCCTGATGGTGGATGCTTTGCACAGCCCTGTAAGACCTGTTGGAAAGTTCTCAGGGATGGGCGTATGTTGCAGTCAGCCTTAGGAAGGAATCCCTAGGAAGGAATTGGCCTGGAGGAAGAACTTCTGTTCAGGCTGGTGAACTTGGCCCAGTTACCCCTCCAGCCTGCAGCCCCATCCCTCTGTCCACTTGCCCCAACACTTATGGCCCCAGGCACCCCAGTCTCCAATCCCAGTGTCTATGCCTTTTCCCATGTTCTCTGGGTTTGGGAATGGCCTTTTCCTTGTTGTCCACAGACAGGATAACTCCAGATCATCCCTTGTGCCCATATCAAATGGTCTCTCCAGGAAGCTCTCCTTCTGCTCTGACTGACCAGCTGCTGGTCAGGGTCTGTGCCTTGGTTCCCATCTATAGACTTGTGTGCCTGGCACATCATGGGCAGCATTGCATGTGGAATGGGTTAGTGTTCTTGGGCCCTTTTAGATGCCTTGGGCACTTCATGGGGCTCAATAAAAAGACACCACTGCCATCCACACTTGCACTTGAGTCCCCAGTGCTTCTCTGCCCTCCCACCCAGACCTCTGTCCTACTCACTCCCCCATCAGCTAAGACTCCCACCGCCTTTCAGGTTCTGGATGCTTTGCAGTCATGCTCTCCAGTCTCCACACTCCTTGCCTGTGGGCTGCATTTCCCCTTTGGGCTGAGGCAGCGAGGGTTAACCAGACTCAGGTCTGTGAGTGAGGTTACAAGCCCACAATCCAGGCAGACACACTTCTAGGGAGTGAAATGAGAGGTGCACAAGGGAGAGCACTGAGCGGTCCTGCTCCTGTCCCATCCTGCTGGCTCTCTAGGCTGTGATTCGTCTAGAGATGTAAGCGCACACACAGACACTGTGTGTCACACCAGAACATCCCCTGTGGAGAGCAGTCTGCTTCTCTCCCCTTCAGGGGAGCATTGCTCTTTGCAGTGTGTTCTGTGGAATTAAGCCAGCCTCGGAATGTCACTCCAGGGTTATCTGTGCTTCACTGGCTCTGATGGCAAAGACAGGCCTCAGCCTCAGTCACTTGTAATTATGTATTTCCTGAGTGAGAGAGACAGAGGAGTGGACTGGAGCAGCTCTCAGGCCCCCCAAGTCCTTGGCACTTTCTTCCCTGGCAGCGATCAGGGTGGGGGGTGTACTGAGAGGGCTCACAGCTGGCTTTTCATAACCCTAGATTTAGGTCAAGGGGGACATTGCTGAGAACACCAAGCAGGATTGGGGAAGACCAGAGGGTTAAAGCCAAACCTGGAAAACACAACCGAATCTTTTAAATCATTCCATCTGAAGGTCGTGGATCCTGGCCTCGCCCTGGAGGGAAAGCTGCCTTCTGTTTTTTTCTTAGGTAACAACCAAGGAGTTGCCACTACTAGCAGCCCAGGATACTTACCAAAGCTTGGCAGTGTGTCTGGTATGAGAGCCGGTCTCTATCCTTAAAGGTCCTTGAGTACTCAGCAGAAACCCCAAAACTGTGCCGAGTGTCCTGATCAAAGTTAAAGACTGATGACTGTCCACTAGCCATGCAGAAACCTTATCAGAGACTGTCCTGGGGCCACACCAGCCAGGCTGTGGGGCAGGTCCAGATTGGAAATGGGTTTGTTTCCTCTCCTGCTGCCTCTTCTGCTCACCTGTGTGGTTTGTCCTTTGCAGGTCCCCAGGGCCTGTGGTAGCGCCCTGCAGGTAGCTGGTGCTAAGGAATCATTTTCTAAATGAAGCAACAAATGTCCTCATCCTCTGTCGGGAGTGTGAAATGGGGTCTTTGGGATCAAAAGTACCGTCTGTATTAACATAACATTTCCTGCAAACATTGGAACATAAATTAAAAAGCAAAACAAAGCCCTGCAGCCATGCTAGAGCTGACCCGCTCTACAGATGCTGCCCGGTCAGCTGTTCCCAATGTCTCACCTGATGGGATGGGGCCTCAGGGCCTGGAGCCATGCTGGGCTCATGTGGCTGCCCAGTGACTGACCTGAGGCTGAGAGGTTGGGGCCAACATGCTCCTTGTCTTGTCTGAGCCTCCTGCCTACAGATTAGTTGGCCTTGGGGCACTGTCCTCCCTGTCTGTGTGGTGGCTGCTGCTGATTCTAATGGTCCTCACATTTGCCTGCACAGTCATGCCACACAAGGATGTAATTATATCCTGTGAACAGCACTTTGCGACATTTTATTATTCAGGAAAACTCCATAGAAATGTAAGCTGTTGTGTACAGCTGGTTTACCCTGCAGTTTCTGTCAGTGCTCACTGTTCTGTGAAAATTACCTGAAAAGGAGGGAGGAGAAGGAGTGAAGCTGGGAGGGAGCTGGGCCTGGCCCTGCTGTGCAGCCTCCACCTGCCTCTTCCAGGAGCTGGAGTATTGAGGGGTGAGTGGTGAGTCCCTGCCAGCCCTGCCTGTGCCCTGCTTAATCCCTGGCCCTTCTCTCCCCAGGAGCTGCCAGAGCATGACGAGCTTGGTCAGCAACTCCATGTCACCCACCAAGGATGGGACCTCCTCTCTTCCCAGGAGGCAGAGTTCATTCGCCAGGCCCCCGCTTCGTGCCCTGTACGACCTGCTCATAGCACCCATGGAAGGGGTAAGTGCCCCCTGGGGCTACAAGGCTTCAGAATGCATCATTTACTGCTCACTGCCCACGTGGAGGTTTTCCAGAACACCAGTCTTCTCTGTCCAGCTTCTCAGCCAGCTTTTGAAAGTTGGCTGCTCATTTAGACAAGGCCCTGAGCTTCCAATCCAGCAGACCTGGGTTCAAGCCCTAGCTCCGCTTCTTACTGGCCTGGTAAATTCGGCCTCCATTATCTCAGGTGCAAAATGAATGATGTTCCCTTCCCAGCTTCCTCAGACATTGGAAGGCTCAGGAAGGCACAGGGCACCCCAGCAGTTGTCAGTAGGAACCACCCGAGTAGACGTGATGGGGGACGTGTATGTGGCTTGCTACACCCTGCTGGGGGTGCTTCCCACAGCCCCACCTCTCATTTGAGGGTCTTGCCTGAGCAACTTTAAGCCAGGTCTGTGTTTTCTGGTGAGAACAGAGCCCTCAGCTTGTGCCATCGTCAGGAGTCGCTGACTCCGTCAGAGTCTAACATCTAAGATACTCTTGCACTGCAATTTCTCGAGGTAGTTGAGAGCAGCGGCTGCCAGGTTTCTGTGGCCTTGGTCTTTGCACGTCATTTTCCAGTTCAGACAGGGCTCTCTAACGGTGGGGTGCTGAGGGCTCGGGGTTCCTTATGAACCTGAATATTGAGCCTATTAGATGCTTTTGTACATGTGTATTAGTCAGCTCTGGCTGCTGCAGCAAACACCATGGACTGGACAGCTTAAACAGCAGACACCAATCTCTCATGGCTCTGGAGGCTGGAAGTCTCAGATCAGGATGCCAGCATGGCCAGTTTTTGGTGAGGGCTCTCTGGCTTCAGACAGCCACCTTCTCATTATGTCCTCACATGGTGGGGGGGAGGGGGAGAGCACTCTTACAAGCGCGCTAATATTATGGGGTTCCTGCCGTCATGAACTCATCTAAACCAAATAACACCCGAAGTCCCCACCTCCAAATACCATCACACTGGGAGTTAGGGTCTCAACATATGAATTTGGGAGGACACAACCATTCAGTCCATAACAGGCTCCTGGGAAAGCGCAGGGTACCTGCAGCAAGTGGAGGCTGCCCCAGCCTCAGGTGGGGAGGGGCGTGAGTGATCCGCTCTCAGGGAGCAGGCAACGAGCCTTAGGGAGATGGGGGTGGGGAAAGCACAGAGCCTTTGGGAGCCTGTAGGCTGGACTCGAGTCTGGCACTGCCCATTCCTGGCTGGGTGACCTTGGCCAGGCTCCCGTCCTTGAGTACTTCTGTCCTCATTAGAAAATGAAGATGCTGCTGCTGAACATGTCAGGTTAGAGCAGGGATGGGATCAGGTGAATGTGAAAAGCATGCAGGGCAGTGGCAGCAGCAAGCGTGCACCTGGCCAGTGGTAGCTGCTGGGAGCCAAGGCTTCCCGTACCTGGAGCCTCCAGTCACATCAGCACAGCCAGCAGCCCAGCTCTGTCCTCTCCTTCCCTGCAACGCACTCAGCCATCCTTTCCTTCTTAGAATTATTACCTCTCAGTGTCCTCCTTTTACTGAGAGGACCAAGATGCAGAGAACGCTCAGAGTCTCAGATGCCCTTGTAACAGCCTGATTTATGTGCTGTACCTCAGGAAAGAAACACACACATGTACCTTTAGGCTGATTTTTCAACTTTCCTTTTCTGCCATAAACCATCATGCACACCATTTCAGTGACTTACTACCAGCCCTGACCCCTGCATTTCGCAATGATCCTGCAGCTCCTCTGAAGGCTATTGGGACCCTCCATTATTTCATTCACTGGGGCAGTGAGTCCCTTTGCATTTTCTCTTTTGCTTTCAGGTCCCACATTATTTGCTCCATGAGTGTTGACTCAGTGGGACTGGGTAGAGCAGAGGGCAAAGATGGAGACAGGCTGTGACTGTTGGCCTATACCATGGGTCACTTCAGTGTGTACTCAGAGGCTCAGGCTGTCTGGAGCTGGTGAGCTCTTTGCCTTTCTCTGGCCCAGCTCTGGTGTCCTCTCCACTTTGAAGCCTTCCTTGCCCTCTTCTCCCCATACCCCACAGCCTTCATCCCTTCCTATCCCTGGGCCCCATATGTTCCTGATGTCTTTCATGGCACCTGATACTTAGACTCAGGACTTAGCTCTTGGCATGCCTCTCATTCTCTCCCTTGCTGCCCACCTCACTCCCTCAAGGCAAGGATGCCCCCTCAGTTCTCTGTCCCCAGCAGCTGGCATGGCCTGGTACATGTTGGCACTCAGCAAAGTTTATGCTACATGTTCCAAAGCTGCATTTGCTTTTTGGGTCTAGTCTGGCATAGAAAGCAGAAGACCCATGGCAGAAACCAGCTAATAGAATTTTCTGTGGCCCCTCTTGTGTGGCACCTGGGTACTTTCTGAGAGGTTATGAAGCAGAAGGAAAGGGCTGGGCCTGTTCTTGAGCAGCTTTGAATCTGGTGAGCCCCTCAACCCTGCCAATGCACAGTGCCAAGTTTCTGGCATATTCCACGGTAGGATCACAAGTCCAGCCAACATGCCTGCAGTTGACCCACAGCTGAGCATTGTTTCAGTGGCTGATGCTGCCCCATGACTGGGAAGGGGCTCTGCACCTGAGGCAGAAATCCTATAGGTGGAGAGCATTGCAAAGCAGCAGCTGGGGAGGGAGAGACAGTCCTTCCCTCCCCACCATAGTGTTTCTACCTGAGAGGAGCTGCTGCAGTGCTGGGAGTCATCCTTGAAAAGGATTCTGTGAGTCTATAAAGTCTGCACTGTGTTTTTCAGACAGATTTTCTCCCTGAGGACTTTCCCCCGTGACTTAAAAAATAAAACTATGCTAATGAGATTAGTGGTAGCTTGTGTCTAGACATAACGTGTTCCTGCAGAGGTGCTAGGAAAGGGAACATTTATGGATTCGAGCCTTGAATAAGTTAGGACATTGATGGAAATCATCTTTATAAAGTTAACTAAAGAAGGGTAAAGCCCTGCCCCAGAAATGAGTCACAGAATACTAAAGGCAACAGTGGCACCCTGTGCATCCAGGAGCTACATTGTGTGAGCCTCTGTGACAGGGTTGCAGAATAATCTTGAGGTGAGGCATCTCGTTGCACATCCTTAGTTTCTGATATTTACAGCTGTTCTCTTTTGTGACTGAAGTGTTTGAATACAATGGAGGAGTTTGTCTGCTTCAAATGTGACACAGAATGAAACCTCTCAGAGGCAATTGAAGTAAATGATCAGAGCAAGTGCTTTTCCTGGACTCCTAAAGTGATCCACTGTGCTTCACTAAAAACACTTAGCTGAAAAGTTGGGCTCTAATCAGGATTTCCTTCCCCTTTCACCCAGTCATTCAATCATTCATTGGCACGGTTCCGTTCAGGTGGGGTGGGTCAGAGTCAGAGGCGATGAGCCTGGGAAGGTCCATTAGCCCCTCCTCAGCGGGGCTGCCCACCTAGAGGAGGAGGCCTGGGTCATCCTCAGGCTTCCCATGGCAGGCACATCCACCTGCTCTGGAGGCCACTAGAGGGCGACACGACACCGTCAGCCACTCGCGTGCTGGTAGCTCCAGACTGAGCCAGATCCTCCTCCACATTGTCATTGAAAATATAAGTCAAAACCGAAAGTCCAAGATTATGAATCAGTGACACTTTAAGACTAAAACGATTAGCCTCTTCACATGGGCCTTGTAATTACTTGAACAACTACCTTTGTTTAGCCGCAGTCCTGCTGCTAAGGGACTAGATCAAACAATATGAAAAGTGGAACAGAATAATATTTTACCCTAGGCTTGCACCAGTGTTTGATTTAATTTGGCTTAAGGGAAATGCCACCGTGGCTCTTTCCTGGAACTACACTGTCCTTTGCTGTCAGGATGGGGTGAGCATGTCCAGTTCTCTTTAAGGAGGGCCCAGTTATATCTGATGGCACATGAGCCATCACCAGTCATTAAGTCAAATCATTTCTAATACCCAAAGGAGAAAATGGTACCAAAGAAAAGTTGCAAGTGTCTAGTGTAAAAGGGACTGGGACCCTGTTTATGTCTGTGGCATTTACTTTTAATCAAATTAGAGTGAAGGATAGTAACCCATGCCACTGAGCCTGGACTTCCCTGCTTTTGTGAAAGGTCAGACCCCAGACCACTCTTGTCCTAGCAGTGGGATCACTCAGACCACGCGCTGACAGATGTGATGAAGCTGCGCAGGGCTGCTCTAGGGGAAGCTGCTCATTCACTCTGATCCCAAATCACCCCCTCAGTTTGCAGATGGCGCTTCATCCAAAGCCGAAAGCTGATTTAATCAAGGAACCAGATTTAGAATAGGAAATTCCTTATATTACTCCTTAAAGTTCCAGATTTGGGGACTTTCGGGATCCTTGGAGTTAGTGTTTCTTCTAGTCTTTATTATCCTTATTGCTATTGCCATTTCAGTTCCCTGTTTCCTATATGTACTGTCTGAAAAGCCAAGGCTATAGGACAGGTAGCCAGAGTGCAAGATTTTGATCAGAAAGAAAAGTGCTGCTTGTCCGTCTCTGGTCTTGACAAATGAGGCTGCCTGTTGAAGTGGAGTTACCTATTTCAGAACCCCCAAAACCTGCTTAAAACTTGCTGATTGTGCTGGTTAGGTTGGTAAACTGCCTTCCTAAACACTGGAGCTCTGGGAATTCACCCCAACCTCTCATCTAAGAATGTGAGGCAGAGCTCTGGCTCTGCCAAGGGTGCAGACATGAGGAGAGCTTGGCTTTGGCTGGGTCATGACTGTAATAATTACTGCTCTGGGGGAAAGGACTCTTACAAAATCAAGTAATGTAATAACCAGCTTACTCTTGAACAGATGCCCCAGGAGACGAGACTGACCATTCAGATGCCTATTTTCTAAATAGATTGGAGAGTTTGGAGACAGCCAGGGAATGTTTGTCCATGGAAACAACCAGCCAGCCTCCGTGGTGTGGAGTGGAAGATTAGGCCCTTGAGACTGGCATGCTTGGGGCTAGCAGCCCCACCGCCAGGCTATCTAATTGAT